CCGGCGTCACCGCGGGTGGCACGGCCCCGCCGTGGCCCAGCCCCAGGCGCTCCGTGACTTCGGCCGGACGAGTGCCGGAGGTCCGATCGCAGACAGACTTACGCCTGGCTTATTGCCTGCGGTTGGTGTCTCCGAAGCACCCCACAAGGGTGTGCCCGCTGCCCAGAGCCACGGCAGAGGGTCCTCGCTCATCCCTTGGGACGGGGCAGCGCTCACCCTGCTGGGATAACGCCGCAGGGGTACCACAGCAACAGGCTCCTGCGCTGGTGTTTTGGAAGCTTGGTGGTGATTTCCAGGCTCTCCAGCCGAGTTGAACCAGGTGGTTGGTGAGGAGCAAGAGGCTGCTAGGCTGCTTTGGGTGCAGGGCAGCAGGGTCCGCGCTGCAGGTCTAGGAGCAGGATGAAACAGGGTCTTGGTACTTCATGTGCCTCTGGGCTGGTCAGGCATTTTCACTGCAAAACGTAAATTGTTCTGGGGGTTAAAAAATATTCCACATCTCTAAGTTTTCTTAAGTGTAACTCAGATTTTGGTCATGCTCCTTCTGCGAGATGCTAGCAGATGGGTGCCCAGATCCCAGATTTACCAGAATATGAGGGCTCAGGCCGGACCTAGACTGCAGCAGGAGCAGCTGTGCATCCTCCTCTTTCTTCTTTATAAGATGCTTTTCTAAAAGGCCTGTGTGATGTGGAAGCCCACAGCCTGGAAACGCTCCTGCATCCCAAAGGCATTGCTGAAACTCCAAGTTCGGTGTGAAATTGGTGATTTGCTGATTATTTCCTGTATTTTCTGAAAAGGTTCCCATACTGGGCACAGTTCAGGGTTGTAGTAAGGGAACAGGGTAGACCATATGTTCTGGTGACCTGTTGGACACAATGCAATGGATGGAAATGGTTCCCAGCCCCAGCTACTGCCTGTCCGTGGGAGGTCATCCTTCTTGTTCTGACAGCCCTTGGTGACAAAAGGCCTTCACACTCACAGTCAAAGGGACAACCAAAGAGAAGGACATCAAGGTGGCCAGCAGCTATGCTGCCAGGCCAGTGCTTGGCAGCCGAGGGAATGCTGGTGGGGTTGAACCACAGGGCAAGAAGGGTTGCCTGGGAGGAGGCAGCTGATGGTGTGACAGAGGAGCAAGCAAATAGTCAGAGAGGGCCTGGGGCTGAGCCAAAAGCCCCAGATTACTGGTCACTATGATGGGATGGAAGGGTTGGCTCTGAGCACTGCTCTCGGTGGAGGGAGTTTTGAGGGCCTTGTGGTGACCAGCTCACAGACACGCTCAGAGAGTTGGTGTACACACCAGAAAGGAGGTGGCCATGCCAGCCATCAGATGTGTGCTCTCTAGCTCAGTCTGGCATTGCCCAGCCCAGCTTTTCCATCCTGAGTGCCTGTAGCCTGGGGGGTGTTTCAGCTGGTCCTTGCCTCGGGAGCAGAATTGGGTGCAGCTGAATGGATGCAAGCATTGTGTTACCTGGCCAGCGAGGAACAGGCATGATGGGAACGGAGAGGTGGATGTGCTGTCTTCTGGTGCACTGCTGTGAGAGGCAAATGGTGGAAGCAATAAACATAAGGCTGAGGGATAGACCTAAGTGTCCTGCTCCATGAGCCCTGGGCCCTGCAAGGTATCCGTTAGCAAGGACAATCTGGGGACCAGGACCTTGGGCAAAACACCTCTGCCTGCAGCAGGGCTTCGGTCTGTGTGAGCGTGCCAGAAGCAGGGTTGCTGGGTGCTCCCTGGAGCAGACCAACTAGAAGTCTGTAGACTTTGCCAAATTGGCTGGGCAGTCAGAGGCACGAGGATGGAGACTCTTTGCTTCCAAGTCTCTTTGGACTATAAGATGAATGGACTCCAGCGGAAAATGAAAGGAGAGCTTTGGGAGCTGCCGAGTCTTTGGGACAGCAGAACACGTCCCACTGTGCTGTGCAGAGTAACAGTAGACTCCATAAGGGTTACGTCTGCTTTAAGAACATCTAGGAAATAAGGGTGACCCCCTCTAATCCCCTCACGCTTGTGCTCGGGGCTGCTGCGGGCCGTTCTCCCTCGAGCCTGCCGGCTCAGCTGTGGGGTTTTGCAGGGTGCTGAAGATGGCAGGCAGCTCCTCGCCCTGGATCGGCAGTGCTTACCTCTTCCTCCAGTCCACGTGCGAGGCCATCGCTCTGCCGGCTCTCTACGAAAGCTCCCAGCAGAAACCCAGCGTGTTCAAGGCGCTGAAGCTGGCATTAGCAGGTACCCTTCCTCTCTGATAGCTTCTCACAGCTCTTCGCTTTCTTTGAGCTCCCACTCACGGGTAAGGAAAGCTGCTGTCCGCTGCATTTAGGAAAGACGGTGAAGTGGAAGAAGCTCAGCAGAAGTCCATCAAGATGGTTGGGGGCTGGGGCACTTGTCTTGTGTAGAGAGGCTGAAGGAGCTGGACCTGTTCAGCCATGGGGAAGAGAAGGCTTTGGGCGGCCTATCAACAGCCCAGAGTGACTGTGTGTTCTCTGTCCTTGGGAGATTTCAAAATGGGGCTGGATAAAGCCCTGAACAACTTGGTGTGACCTCAGAGCTTCCCCTGCTTTGCATGGGAGGTTGGGCTAGAGATGTCCTGGGCTTCCTTCCAACTTGAACTGTCTAATGAGTAATTCTGCTTTATGAACATTTGTTTAAACCCATTTATGTAAGAGGGGAAGAAAAGTTTTCAGTCGCTCTGAAGGAAAATGTAATTTCTGTCTTTATGCCACCACAGAAATATGATTTCTGCTTTGAAGAACTGATTTTAAAAATCAGCAATAGCCAGTATAAGTTCTTTTCTGATATAAATAAGCACAATTACAGTAGCTTCAAGTGTGTGGAACCATATTTACATCAAAAAAGGACTGGAGAGACCAACGGCCATAAAACTGTTTCTCTATCCACCCTTGCACCAGGCTGACTGCAAAACAGGAGTAGTTTGAAGAGTTTCTCCCCCTTACCTAGAGTGACTCCTGTGGTGTTCGTTACCTGTCACACAGCTGAGCCTATATTGTTTGGTTGGGCTTGTGTAACTAAACTGTAATTCCTTCTGGCAATCATCAGCCTAGCCAAGCCAGACAGTTTATCCAGTACAGGCCTGTTTGTCCTGCAGCTCGATCCAAAGATGGGAAGCAGCAGGAAGCCTGACATGGTTGTCCAGTTATGCTCAATTTACGGCTGCTTTGTGTCACTGGAATGTGAATCTGCTTGCACATTTAAAGGAAAGCCCACAAAAATGCTAGATCTTACCATGCTTATTCAGCCCTAAGAAGGACATGAAGAAGCAGCCTGAAGTTTCAGGAAGAAATGTGTTAAGTCCTCTCTTTGGAGGTAGCTCTGCAGCTGTCTTGTACACTGGTCATAAAGGTTTCCATATCTGTGCAGCTTTTCCCTCCTCAGCGCTCCTTCCCTTTTATGGAAGCTTTTGTTTAACCAGCACTCCTGAAACACAAAGCATGGAGGGAGAGGTAAAAAGACATTTCTGGCCAGGCACAGTGAATTAGAACATCCTTCCTAGCTCCACATCCCAGTCCCACATCTGGGCCCAACTAGACTGATGCAGCCAGGACTCAGTAAACCCTGTAAAGCCACTCACTGATACATCACATTTTCAAATGCCAGGTCACTCTGCTGCCTAAATTGGAGCATTCAAGGCTGCTTTGCCTCAGGCTTCTCCAAGTATGTCTAAATAATGATACCGTGATGTGTGGCATAGAAATACCTGATGTGGTGCCAGTCTGAGCTAGCACCTCCATGCAGCCCTGTGCCACCACAGGCCAAGGGGTTCACTCGGGTCTGGAAGCTGTAGAGCCAGCTGCCCACAGGCTTTGCTGCAAAAAAAAAAAAAAAAAAAAAAGAGAAGAACTTACCTCAAATTGTCATCCTCAGCATATGAAATCCCTGTGGAGACAAGGTCAATGTCAAAATTAGGTTTTGCTGGGAGAAGGAAGAATGAAGAATGAAGGACTAGACAGTTTGTGTTGTCCATGTTGCTCATGCTACCCTGCACTAACGTTAGAGGGTACACCTCTGGCTTCTCCTTGCTTAGATTTTACCCTGAAGCAACCCTCTGTGCAAAAGAGCTTAACAAGTCAAAGCCCAGTCTTGAGCAGCCTAAATCTTTGTGGCTCGGTCCATCCTTCCCCATTTGTGAGACGTGTTGAAGGCTCAGAGCCAGCCAAAAGTTATCTCTAAGCACAGGGTGGAGAGAAAGCGCTGACTTCTCTTTGCAGGACCTTCAGCACTGCATAAAATTCCCGTCTCAAGGACTGAAGAGTAGGAAAACCTCCATCCTTTCCTCTTGGTTTTGCATGCAGGGTTTTCACTCCAGAGGACTTGAGCGCAGAGAGAGGAGAATTCAGAAGCTGCTCCAGTGCAGGCTGGGTACTGGGTGGGAGGGGGTCTGGGTTGTGTCTCTCATGCCTGGATAGTGACTCTGCTCCCTTCTCCCCACCAGACTCCACCGGGAGCGCAAACGGCGTGGATGTGCTCAAAGTGCACTGCAGCCAGCCCCACCTGATCGTCCAGCTCAAGTTCTGCAAGCGGGAGAACTGCCGCCGGTTCCTGCGGAGTTACCGGGAAGGAGCGCTCCAGGAGTCCCTCCAGAACCACCTCCAGCTCTTCTTGGCCGTGACCACGGTGCCTCTTGAAATGGAGCTGAAGGCTGGCAGCGAGCACCTTGACAGCATGCTGAAGGACGAGGATCGCTGCCTAGAGTGCATCTACAGGGAAAAGGTGAGCGGGAGCGAGGCCACGAAGAGCAGGAGCTCGGGGCTCAGAACGTGGGTGCAAATCTTGCTCTGTTGCAGCGTGCTGGGTTCTTGGCTTCTCCATCCTTCAGTCCTCAGGTGTAATATGGAGGAACAGCTCTGCCCTTCGCCAGAGAAGAGCTGTGCACTTCTGTGGAAGGGCAACAGAGGTACCTAAAAGCCTACAGAGATTCTGCTAAATCCCTCTGGTTTCTGGGGGTAACAGTTAGTGTGGCTGCTGTCACAACTAAGGTGAGGAATTCTAGAAGGTGCAGGTAAGAGCACAAGCAAGTGCACCTCAATCCCAGCATAGGGGGGGTTGGAAGGAACATCTGGAGATCACCTCGTCCAACCTCTCTTCTCCACCAGGGTCACCCACAGCAGGGTGCCCAGGATCCCTGGGTCCAAATGGGTTGGGAATCTCTCCAGAGAAGGAGACTCCACAGCCTCTCTGGGCAGCCTGCTCCAGGCTCTGCCACCCTCACAGCAAAGAAGTTTTTCTCCTGTTCATATGGAACCTCCTGGATTCCAGTTTGTGCCTGTTGCTGGGCACCACTGACAAAAGTCTGTCCCCATCCTTTTGACCCCTGCCCTTTAGCTCTTGATCAGCCTTTATCAGATCCCCTCTCAGGCTTCTCTTCAGGCTAACCAGCCCCTGGGCTCTCAGCCTTTCATGGGCACAGAGATGCTCCAGTTCCCTCAGCATCTTTGTAACCTCCACTGGACCTTCTCCAATAAAGGAGAGTCTCAGTGTCTCTTCTTGTCTCTCTGGAACTGGGGAGCCCAGCACTGGACCCAATACTCCAGAGGTGGCCTCACCAGGGCAGAGTAGAGGGGAAGGAGAACCTCCCTTGCCCTGCTCGCCTCGGTGCACCTGGAGGCAGCAGAGGACAGCAGCCCTGTGTGGAACCATCCCTGCTCTGCACCTTCCTCCCCAGCCTTGCACGACAGCTTCGAGAGCAGCAATGGTGACTGCACCTAGAAACAAGCCTGAGTCAAACACTCTGTAGTCCCACCAGTAGTGTGTGACAGAGTGGGGACACAGCATCTGCTGCCAGCAGAGCAGGCTGCCCTGCTGAAGGCAAAGCCTCTCTCAGGGGAGATACCCAACATCTAGCTCATCACACCAGCACTGTAATTCTGCTAGCAAGAACTGCCAGATCTTGTCATCTCACCACAAAACCAAGGCACTTGCCTTGATTAAACTCACTGCCTTTCTCCCCCCTTTTTTTTTTTTTTCCCACCTCCAACTGACAATACCTCAGAGCTCTGGTTCCCTCAAGATGGTCCTGAGAAATAAGGTACCATCTCCTCGAGGAGATCAGGCACAAGAATGTTTTGCCAGGTTGCTTTTCTGCAAGCCGAGAGAACGAAATGCAAACCTTTCAGCCCTGGACCAAACAGCATGTGGTATCCCATCCCCTGTCCACATCTGCTTGCTGCTCCCTCCCTCTGCTGA